AAATAGGAATAATAAAAGTCCTAATTTATGGCATTGTTGAGAAGATTAAAATCATCTAAGCCACATAAAATAGTTAACACATGTTTGGCATAAAATAAATCCTCACAAAATACTAGCTAGGATGTTATGATGGTGATAATATTTCATTGAGGATGACTTATCAGACAGAAAAATTCCTACTGTCTGAAGACAAACTCAGGTGTTTTATATATTTTTGGATATGTATATACCTAAGATATGAAACTTTAATATGGGTATTTTATGTTGGTGGGATGCAACCTGACTTTGAAAATACTCAAATATGATAACAGCGTTCAGACTCTGCCCAGCAATCATAACCTATAAAACTCTACGTAGGGAAAGTTTTAGTCTTAAAACAATAGTCCAGATCTTTGCTCCAAAAGCACATTAAACTAAATTTACTTACTGTTTGTTAATAAAAATTTAAACATTAATATATTTTAAAATATTTTATATGAGGAGAAATTCTATTTTAATTGTGGTGTCTTTCTTCATCAGCATGCACTGAAATCTCAGGGTTAGAAAAGGGCCAGACCAACACCAAATGGTTTCAAATATCAAACTATACTATTATGTCGGTGCTAAGATCAATTAGCACCTTTTGATACCAGAACAAGTTACCATTACCGGGAAGACCCGGGGTGCACTCTGAGACTGTCTTAAACCACCATAAAAAATGTGGGTTTGATTACTCGAAATGGTTTCTATTTTTAAATTCATCATGTTCATCTCTCTTTCTGGAAGAAGGAAAGGAGTTGGCGGAGCAAGGATAGAGGTCTGTTCACTTTCAGCGCCTCTCTCCCAGTAAATCCAGGGGTGGAGAAAGGTGAGAAGCAGGAGCTGCAGGTTTACGTGACTTATCACCGAAGCATACGTGAATAGATGACGGCAATGTTTACAAAGCCTTCAGCCCTCTTGAAAGCATTTAAATATCTGACTTTTGTTTATTTTCTTTCCCTCACTGGGATCAAGTTAAATGACACCAAGTTTAGCTCTATGTCCAGTTTAATGAATATTCACTGCTACCCCACATTAAAACACACCTCAGTGCAAAACACAGCACTGTACATACACACTACAATTAAATACACGATTGCAGCTCGCCCATCTGGAGGGCAAATGCTTGAAAAAGCAAGTTCTTTCTCAATTCACTAGGAAACCTTCATGAGAGAAGCAGGTACCTTGCACGCCACGCCATCCATTGCCCCTGGTGTTGATTTCCTTCACCTAGTAACCATTGTAATAAAATCCCCTGACTGTATTTCTGAATACAATTAGTTTAAGATACTCTACTGAGAGACACATTATTAGAATTTAGCATAGGTAAAGATAATATCCGTTTGAAAAAGAAACTGTCAGGATTATATCCTCAGTGAAAAAAAATCAGTGTTTGATAGAGGCTTGTTCAGTTCTTCAATAAGAGGATTCAAAAGGTCTCCTACTTTTGATAGCACACTTTTCTATTTATTGCTTAAATGAATGATCTGAAATATTTACAACCAGACAGTACCTAATTTTAGGTTTTAAGTGCTTTAACAGCTCCATGAAATATGATCAGCAGCTGCAATACAGAACTATGGTGAATAAACTCCTTATAAAGGGGGCCTGTTTTTAACTGAATGTTCAGTGTTCTTGCGTTTACCTAATAGGAAAAAAAAAGATAATGAAAAACCATAATAAATACTTACATTCTTAAATTACTTAACACTTCACTAAGTCTAGAAAGGGATTGTCTCCCCTCTTTTTGAATTCTGAATAAAAAGTGTGAGGTTTCACTGAGTGGAAGAAGCTTAATTTTATTATCTAAAGGTTAGGGTGTGAATTTTCCAATACCTAAATTTTTATTTCAATAATCTTAGATTTTCTAACATTTACCTTTCTGAAAGATCTAGATAATTTAGCTCCAATGTGTAAAATAAAATAATAAACTGTCAGGCCACATAAATATATTTTTAGATACAACATCAGTCATTTAGCACTTGCAACAGAGACTGAAAACATGAAACAGGATACTCTATTTCCCATGGCTATGTAAAATTTATTTACACCCCAAATCACAATATAAATAAAAAGAAACTCCTAGAAATGGAGAGCCTGCTTCTCTTTTTTTTTTTTGACCGAGAGATTTTTAATAAAAGAAAAAACAAATTATAGCAAAATGACAAGCCACTCAGTCCCTCCTGAGGGAAAAAAAAATTTATGCAAAGACAACTTTTTCATCCAGCTTCTAGAAATCCTCTAAAATCTAACTTTTCTATTATTTAATAACTTATTTTTACACAAATCTTAAGATTTCTAAATGTTCACGCTTTAACATACTACTTGACATAAATATTATTTACGAATATATATAACCAGAGATGAGAAATTAAATTTCCAATGTTTAGTAAAATAAAATCTAACAAAAAAGAATCGAGCAAGTCTTGTTCTAATTGTGAGGCAATCTTTAATTAAAACGATCTCAAAGTGTTGAAGCATACTTATTTTCAGGCAGAGCACAGAAAGAAATGCAGGCTTTTGAAAATCACATTGATTTTAGACCTTCACTTAGTAGAAAACAGAAGGACACAGACATCTCTAATAATGGGGAAAAGGAAGAGTGGGCAGCTAACCTAATTATGTTGCAAAGCTATTATTGTCCCGTTCTTGTACAGTTATTTCTGAGAAACAAAACAAAACAAAAACTGGTTAACTCTGAATGACCTGCAGCTTTTAATCAGGTGGAACAACTATTTCTACGGTTTATAATAACAATTAAAATATTTGTAGTTATATCTGCGTTCGGTGTTGTTGCCATAAAACTGAGATTCTGGCAGTGTAGCTCCACACCAAACAGTTTGTCTTTTGTTACTACTGCTTTTTATTTCCTGGGATTATTTTCCTGGGTATTTTTAAAAATACACAAACGTTTGCAGTCTCTTACAACACACTCTGTTAGGAATCGAACATTTTGTTTTGGGATTTTCTCCCAGCCCACTACCCTCACTGCTTTGGTTCTTCAGGTGTAAGCCTGACACATCTTAAAAGTAAAAAAATAAATAAATAAAAAGAAAAGAAAATGTCTTTGCTCAAAACAAGCTGTACCTGGGAAAGATTATCCAGGACAATACTTATTCCAAGGAGTTTGTAAAAATAAAAACACAAAAATCAGATCAACAAGCAAACAAACAGAAAACACACACACACACACACACACACACACACACACACACACACACCGTCAACTTTCAGTGCTGTCATTCACCTACGTGGAAATGAAACTTCAGAAGCTGTGGCCGCAGCCCGGGGTGGCTGTGCGCTCCTGCGCCTCCCACCCGAGCCTGCGGGTACCTGCGTGAAACTGACAAGCGCCCGAGGGTGCAAAAAAGCGGCCGCCACTGAGAACAGGAACAAAATGCCATAATCGAGAAGATATATTTCGCTCCAACAATTACGTTGATCCCAGGGTGCCAAGCCAAAAGGGGTAAGGGAGAAAGAAAACTGTTAAGTATGAGCTCTTAATGTGAAACCTAACCTGCGGGTCCTCTGAGGTATCAGATTTTGGAAGTGTCTGTAATGACAGCCAGGAAAGCAAATTAATGGCCAACAGCCCACTGGGTTTGAACACGAGACTCCAGTTACCTCCTCATAGATCAAGTACACAACACACACGCACACGAAGGTGCTCCACGTGGAACTGCTCGGGAACCAAAACACAAGCCCGGGAGCGACGCTGTTCACTGGCAGAAGGAGCTGAAGGACCTGCGCCTTCCTAGCTGCCCTTCGGCTCCGATTCCTCAACAACAGGCGCACCCGGTCCGGCAGATACGGCCAGAGGCTCTAGGGACGAGGGAAGGAGCAGGATCCCCGAACATAGCACCTTCCACGCGCACTGTCACCCCGAGCCAGAGCAAACCCTCTCCGCCATCTCCGGAGTGCAGTGTAGACGGGGTGAAGGCAAAAGGACACACTGCAAGCCCAACTAGAAAAAGAGGACAAATATTCAGCTGTGCTCTCTGGTCCCCCCACCCCATGCTCAACCACCAGGCTTGGTCCACACATTCCCTCAACGCCCCGAGAGATTGCAATCTTGCATACAAAGAAAGGGACTAGGGTGTGGGGATGATCTTTAAAATGCCACCAAAAGAAAGTTTGGGTTGCTGCATAGCACAGAATAAAACGAACGCACACATCGTCTACTTCCAATCTCATTTCACAAGAAAAAAATAATAATAACAATAATTGTTTCAAGCCCCACAGCGTCCCCAGACCCCAGACCCAGCAGGCTTTGAAAAGCGAGAAAGGGACCCAGCCAGGTCCCTTCGCTGGGCGAAGTTAGAATCCCTCCAAACCATCTGCGTCTCGAGCCAATGAACGCGACTCCTCTGACAAGGCGCCTCTGATTTCACGGACGCTGGCAAAAGGTGGGAGACATTCGGTTCACCCCATATAAAAGTGACTCAAGTGGGATCGCCGCAGTTTAAAACCCGGTCAGTGCCCGAATGTACACACGCCCGGGCAGCCAGACAGCCCAGGCGCCTGGAGCCCTCCGGGGACTCCGGGTCAGCATCCTTGTGCCTGGGCCACCTACGGGGTCATCACCAAGTACTAAACCACAGGGGACGAATTTAGGGGAGACCCTGGTGCGCGCGCCCCTCCGAGGCGGGGGTTGGGTGCCGGTGGGAGCCGCACAAACGCCTTTCCGCGCCCTCGGCGCTGCGGCCCGACAGAGACTGACCCGCTTCTAGGAGCCCTTTGGAGAATGGAGGCGTCTTCCCGAGCAGAGCACACAGATGCAGTTCTAAGGGTCTGGGCACCTGGGCACGAGACGCCCCGTCTTCGCCTCCCCCCTTCCCAGAACTCCAAAGTCCCGCAGGGTTCCGGGTCCCCAGCACAATCGCGCGCACTTTTTTTTTTTTTTAAAGGAGCGCTGGGGGGCTCCTTTAACTCCAGACTCCCGCGTGCTCCCGGGCCACGGTGGGTGCAAGAGGACCACTCACCTCCCGTCGCTCGGGCCGCCTCAGGATCCCCAAGTTCAAGTTCCGCCCGAACCGCAGATCTACGCGCCGGTTCTTAGATGTTTATTCTCGCTGCTTCCACTGTCTAAGTTTCCCCTTCGCGCTGTGTCTCTGGTGGAAACAGGACATCCCCTTTGGTCACCCCCACACACACTAACAGCGTGCACAAATGGGGAGCTACGGGGCGGGGTGGGGGGAGCAGCCGGCTGCTAGGGGGAGGAGGAGAGGAGCCCAGAAGTCTGCCCTGGCGACCCGGGAGAAAAGTAGAAGAAAAGGCCAGCCAAGAGCGCGCGCCCCGCCGCGGTCCGCGCTCCCCAGCGTTTCCGAAGCTGCTTCCCCCTGCGAGGCCGCGGCCACTTCTCGTGGACGGGATGGGAGTTTTGCGCGGAAGCCGGTAGCGGCCGAGCGTGCGCCCCGCGGCGGGCAGCCTGGCACTTGCGCGCGGGGTGGGGGGAGCACAGCGCCGCCGGCGACTTCGGGCTCGCGTGGCCGCGGGCGCGCGGGGGGCGGGGAGAGCGCGAGACCGGTTCTTTTTTTTATTGGACCTTGAGAGAATGCTTGGTGTCATCGTTTGCTGTCTCGCGTGGGGACCGCCCGGGGCCTTGGGGCCCTGGGTGTCCCTGGTGGCGCCGCCGTAATCTCTGCGCCGCCCCCACCCCGCCCCCACCCGGTCCGGCGGACCGCGGAGGCCCCGGGGCTGAGGGGGAGGGACCCGCCGCCGCCGCCGCCGCCTCGTCTCTCTCCGCGAGACGGAACCGCTGTCTGTCCCCACCTGCTGCTGTGGGGCAGCGCCGGACTCGCCTGCAACTCGGCCGCTACCGGGTTCCGGAGTGCAGGCCACTGTGGGCCCCCTGCCGGACTCATTGTCACTTACCCCAAGGGAGGAGACCGAAGGGACTTCGCCAACTTGCAACAAGGCAAAATAAAAGCCAACCCTTACCGGACAGAGAAGCTTTCTCCGACGGGAAGAAACACTTTTCCGTGAAGATGTGTGCTCTGAAGCATTAAGCAGTCTGCAATTTGGCTGGGCTGGGAAGGACCTGGGCCCCTTCCAGCGCTGGGTGCAGGTATAGGCATCCCTCCCAGATGCCCAAAGGTCAGGCAGCGACTCCTGACTCCCAAGGTGGCGTCACAACTTCCCCAGGCACATTGCTGAAGTGACATTTCCAGCCAAGCCTCCTGCGAATGCCTTATGTTTCTGTATAGCACTTTATATTATTCTACATGCATGCATAGGAATGTCGCACCCAGGAGCTCCTGCAAAAGATAGCCCTACCTCTAATATCCATTTGGTCACCTTTTCCTAAATCTATTGTCTATGATAGAAGCATCTTTTTGTTACACCAATAATGTCTTTTCACCGATTGAGAATTTACTGTTAGTCACTGTATTGATCATGTATGGCACATGTAAGTTAATTTTCATGAGAAATCTACGGTGGCCTTTGTGAAAAAGCCCGGATAAAAGATGAAGAAACCAAAGCCTAAAGAAACCTGAGTGCCTTTCCTAAAGAGAAATCCAGAGGGCTACAACCAAAGAGCCCATGATTCAGTTAGCAGTACCCTTCATGGCCTTGGGTGTGGTCTGGAAGATAGGAAAGTAATCATCAGAAATTATCCCTATTCAAAAAAAATATAGTTTTACTATTTTATCAGTTAAATTATGTGCCTCCCCCAAAAGACCTGAGAAGAAAGATTTCATCATCTCTTTCAGGTTGGCCATAAGCAAGATAGCACTATGGCTATCAGGCTCAAAAGAAAGACAGGATACTAAATACTTGTTTTAATTTAGGTGTTAATGAGTAAGGCATTGTCTGCAGTTAAAAGGGAATGGAAAAAATAGGGTTGTAATTAAACTGATAAGATACTCTCCCTGGTCACATAACTTACTGAGTGTTCCTCTCTTCGGATTTATGGTTGTAGAAGTAGGAAATGTTGTGGTGGTGGGTTTCGAGCAAGTGGGATTTGGAGTACAGTTAAGAACACATTCTGGCCTAAAGAGAAATGCCAGCTAATGTATAGCTAAGCAAAAATACTGAGGAGCAAGTTTGCTTAATCTCTCTAGCCCAGTGAGAAACTAAGGTTTAAGAATGTTTAGCAGCTTCTCACTAAATGGAAGACCTGAGATTCAAACCAGCTTGGAAGTAACACCAAAATCTACTCGCAGCCTGTTCAATGCTATTCTGAGTAATAGCAGTCACAGCAATCATGACTTTAAAATAAAGCATATAGGTTACAAACCGAATGCATAATTAAAATGTGAGTCATTCAGTGTCTGAGAATGCTGTGGCTCTAACAGATATCGTAATGAATTAAAACAATGCTCAATTTAACAGTCTCTTCAAAAGTCCACAAGTTTTTAATCTTGTTTTAGTATAAAACATTATGTATAAGATTTACCTCTAAATAAATGTGGGGAGGTGCATATTCTGCATAAAATGAAAGTTAGTACTTTAACGCAACATCCTTAACACAGTTTCTGGCCTGTCTCATTGCTTCCTCCTAGAATCAGATTTTCAACATAGTGACCTTGTGTTCAAGGTCACTTTGTTCCCACATAGTTTTTTATACAGCTACCTAGAAGTGCATTTATAGAATAGCCAAATAAATTCAGAATTACACTCAGAATTAGTATTCAACCTCATCACTACCACCTAAGAATGGTCCTAAATCCACATATACTATATGGATATCATTAGAAGTAAAATAAAATATCATATTTTCAGTGTATATTTAAAATAAGTTGAAATTAGGAATCAAAGAATTTTAAGGTTATCTAGGCAAAAGTATTTTGTATTTAAAAAAAAGCATTATTTCTGGCATTTCTATTGAATTGTACCAGTTACCCACTATCTTTTTTCTTTTTCTTTCTTTCTTTCTTTCTTTTTTTCTTTTTCTTTTTTGTTCGTTCTTTTTTCTTTCTGGTTTTTCTTCATTTCCTCTTTTCCTTTCTTTTCTTTTCTTTTTCTTTCTTTTCTTTTCCATACTGAGTATTGAACCCTGGGCCTTCACATTGAGCTACATCTTTGGCCCTATCTTATTTTTAATTTTGATAGGGTCTCATTAAGTCATTAAATTATCCAAGCTGGGCTGGAATTTGCAATTCTTCTGCCTCAGCCTCTCAGAATGCTGGAAATACAGGTGCTCACCTTTCTATCCCCACTCCCTTTTCTTCTTTCTTCTTCCCCTTTCTCACTTTATCTTAATCAATAAGTAAGAGACACTAATTCTTAACCATATTGAGAGCAACTGACCCAGTGTATTACTGCAGCAAAGTTCTACAAGGCAAGGAAAGACACTGGAAAGTACAACAGTGGGAGAAACTCAAGGAACCTGAAAGACAGTGTGAGGAAATTCTGAAGTTGACAGTCTGTTGTTGCACTCCAGAAGATCCTCACCAACACTAGCAAGTCCTACATGACCCAGGTCAGGCTGCACAAATACCCTAAATGGGGTAGGGGGAGAGAATGTGTGACTTTATGGAGAAAATCAGTAGAAATCTAAGGTTTGCTTAATAGCAGTTTCCTTAACTCACCCCTCTAGGGCGGGATGCTTCTGCAGTTACCATTCACTGTTTGTTTATTTTTCAAATGTGCATGGCACCGTTTTGGCATTCGGTATTGTATAAGTCAAATTAAACAAACAAAGTGCTCTAGGAGTTTATAATCCAAAACATAATTTTTATTTTAATTTCATTTAAAAGCAACCTTAAGGGAAAAAAATCATACAATCATTTTAGTAAGAACAGATTTCTAGGCTTAAAAAGTACAATAAGACTTTACATTTACCAAAAAAGGAAACGAGAGAACTGCATGTTTGGAGAAATAACCCCAAAGTAAATCTCTTGTGCACCCTTTGGTGTACCTTTGAACTCCAGCTGGAAGCATGCACAATTCTTTAAAAAAATATAGTCATTTAATCATTTCTAAGTAATTTCTAAGCCAAACCCATTGAGATTTGGAAGAATGGGGTTCCAAAGACCAACTTCCATAGAAATAAATTGACCATTGTTTGTTCTACCCGTGACACAGTAGAAGAACAAATGAGGATTGACAGGAATCTCAAGTCCTATGCTACCGGTTTTCTAAAATTGATAAATAAACACACTTTCTGAATAATGCTGTGCAGATCAATCAAGCTTAATCTGCTAGTCTGTTAAACTGAAGAAACGAAGCCTCCTGGAGACCTGTTGGGTCATCGTCTTCTGCAGTGTTCTCTGAACTTTCTCATTCTTGGCAATGTCTGAAGAAAATGGATTGCACATTTTCTGGGAGACGGCTTCATGGTATTTATTTTGGAATTCTTTCTTGAAATTTTTTCTGAAGTTAAATCCTTTTAGTACCCTCTTATGCAATTCTAGTCCATCTTCCATGTTTACACCCAATCTCTATAAACAGAGATCATGCCCACTTTTCGCCATCTGTTAATCATGTTAAACAAATGCGAGTCTTGTTAATCTTCTTGCATCTCAGCCTCCTCAAACTCTCAGTCATTCTTATTGCTCCTCTCTGGACTATTTCAATTTTGTAGATGTTCATTCGAGTTAGAGTTAGAAGTACCCCACACTGAATTCCAGGTGCAGTCTCATTAGCATACTAGACTGCATCTTACTTTATTTTAAAATTCTCTTTGTAAGCATTATGTTTTGGCTTCATTTCAACTTCCCACAAATTCATGCTACTCTTATACTTTAACTAGCTTATGTGCAATTGTTTCTCTATTTTAACTGCACAAATTGTTTCTCTTGGTGTACTATGTCAAACCTGGTTTCTCAAGCATCCATTTTTTTAATAAAAGTAATCAAAATATGAGTAGTATCACTTTCTTTCTCCCTTTGATACCATGATTTAAAATCATCTACATTTCAAAATAAGAAACATCCAGTTAATATCTTTTTATGCCATTCTATAATGTGTCCTTGTAAAGTTTAGCTGCTTATCAAAGGTGTGCACTGATTTATCATTTAACAGTCCCTAAAAATACAATTCAGTGCCTGGAAGAATGAGGATTTCAACTAATTTGGTAATTTTAAAGTGATCTATTTGCCCTGGTAACTCTGGTGTACTTTTGGCATCTGAAATCTCAAAGTTAGGGAGACTTCTAAATTGCAACATTTTACTCTGAATTCTTTTGAATGAAAACATAATATTATCAAAAACTGGGACACAACTTTGAAATGCCCCTTCCACTATGAGACAGCACAAACAATTTCCTTGTACTGAGTGTTTCAAGTTTAAGCACATATTCTTAGCACCCCCTAACAGGCCTTTCAATGTCTCTGCCTTCTCA